GGAGGGTTTGGCGGGGGGGCTCGGGGGTTCCCGAGGGTCAGAGCGCAGGGCCTTGGAACCCTCTCGGGGGCCGCGGGGCCCGGGGGCCTCCCAAGATCCCGGATGTTCGATTCGATTCCGAGAAAGTCCCTCGGAAAAAAACATCAAAACCACCCAACAAAAAAAGAACCCTAAAAAAGGGAAAAGTGAGAAAAAGGTGAAGGAAAAACTGCAGGGGCCAGGATGATTTTATTGCTTTGCTTCAGTTTTTCCTTGGTCTCCTTCTCAGGTTTTCTGCTCTCTTCCTTTACAGAAAGCTCTTCTGCTGTTGTGTGGTTTTGGGGTCCCTGGGGGTTCCCTGAGGAGGTTTTGGGGGGTCTCTGAAGGTGTTTAGTGTCCGGAGGGGACTTAAGGGGGGGGGGGTTGACGGTCCCTGAATGGGTTTGGGAATCCCTGAGGGAGTTTTGGAATCTCCGAGGGAACTGGGAGGTCCTGGGGGGGCCTTTGGGGGGGGTCTTTGAAGCAGTTTTGTGGGTTTCTTGTGGGATTTTGGGAGTCCCAGACGGTTTTGAGGGTCCCTGAGGGGGTTTTGGGGGTCCCTGAAAAGGCCTGGGGATTCCAGGTGGGTTTTGCAGGTCACTGAGAGGGTTTAGGGGGTCCTGGGGGGGGGGATGAGGTCTCTGAGGGGATTTGAGGTGGTTTTGAGGAGGTTTCGATGGGTCCAGAGGTGGATTTCTGAGGGGATTTCAGGGGTTCTGAGGGGATTTTATGGGGTCTCTGTGTCAGCAGACCGACCCCAGGGAAAGGGGATCCCAATGCCTGCCCCGAACCCCAGAGACCCCCAAAACTCAGCACACAGAGACCCCCCAGGGGGTCCCGGGGGTCCCCTAAAGCCCAGCAGTGGGGTTCATGGGGTCCCCCAGCCCCCAGGGGAGGGGTCTGGGGGTTGCCCCCTAAAGTGCGGGGGGGAGATGAACCACATCTGGGTAAGGGGATCCCAGTGCCCCCAATATATCCCAGTGACCTCCCAGTGATCCTCAGTACAGCCCAGTAACCCCCTCAGTGACCACCCAGTGTGTCCCAGTGACCTCCCACTGCCCCCCAGTATGGCCCAGTGATCCTCCAGTGTGCACCCAGTAACCCCCAGTATGGCCCAGTAACCAGCCAGTGTCCCCCTGTGTGTCTTTGTAATCCCCCAGTAACTCCCCAGTCCCTCCCAGTGCCCTCCCAGTGTCCCTCAGTAACCCCCAGTCCCTCCCAGTGCCCCCTGGTTCCCCCCAGTGTGTCCCAGTACCCCCCAGTAATCCCCCAGTGCCCCACAAAGCCCCCCAACTGTCCCCAGTGTGTCCCCAGATGCCCTTGGCCTTTCTGTGAGCGTGGGGGGGGTGTTTTTGTGGTCAGAGGGTCCAGGGGGGGCTCCTGGGGTGAGATGGAGGGTTGGGGACATCAGGGATGAGGTTTGGGGACAGTGGAATTGGGGGTGTCAAGGGGGGAATTGGAAACACCAAAAGGGTCTTGGGGACATGAGGGGAGTCTCAGGACTGACCTGCTTGTAGGGAAGCCCCTCCTCTGCCCCTCTAGGCCCCATTAACCCCCCACCAAATGTCCCCCAACTCCCCTTTTTTTCCTTTAATCCCCTCCCCCCACAGATCCCTTTGACCCCCCAATGCCCACAAGACCCTTTTAACTCCCCCAAATGCACCCAAAGCCCCACCAAATCCCCATCCAACCCCTCCAGATCCCCCCAAATCTCCCCCAACTCTTCCTTCAAATCCCTCCCAACCCCCCCAAAGAGGGATCACCTGGCACCCTGGGACAGGAACACAGTGGGCTGTACTGGGGGCACTGGGCTGTACTGGGAGAGCACTGGGGGGGCTCAGGTGTCCCACAACATCGTGGTCCAGCTCCAGGAGAGATCCGGGGAGCAGTGAGGGGGTACTGGTCTGTCCTGGTCTGTCCTGGTCTGTACCCCCAATCCCCAGAGCGTGGCCAGGGGGCCAAGAGGGCCAGTGGATGGTGGCCTGGCTGAGGAAGAGTGTGGCAGCAGGAGCAGGGAAGTGATTGTTGGGCTGGAGTGAGCGCTGGTGAGGCCACCCCTGGAGTGCTGTGTCCAGCTCTGGGCCCTGAGTTGAGGAAGGCCCTGGAGGGGCTGGAGCAGGTGCAGAGAAGAGCAGCGAGGCTGGGGAGGGGAGTGGAGCACAAGTGGTGTGAGGAGAGGCTGAGGGAGCTGGGGGTGTTGAGGCTGGAGAAGAGGAGGCTCAGGGGAGACCTCCTGACTCTCTGCAAGTCCCTGCCAGGAGGTTGGAGCCAGGTGGGGTGGGGCTGTTCTGGCAGGAAGCAGCAGTAGGACAAGAGGGCTGGGTCTGGAGCTGTGCCAGGGGAGGTTTAGGTTGGATATTGGGAAGGAATTTTTTGCTGAGAGAGTAATGAGGCCTTGGAATGGGCTGGGCAGGGAGGGGGTGGAGTCCCCGTCCCTGGAGGTGTTGAAGGTGAGAGTGGATGTGGCCTCAGTGCCATGGTCTGGGAAGCACGGCGGGGTTGGATCCAGGGTTGGACTTGATGATCTCGGAGGTCTTTTCCAATGTGGCTGATTCTGTGATTCTCTGATTGCCATTCCTATGGCAGCACATGCTTGAGGCTCCATCCCCAGGGTGATGGAGATGTCTGTCCATATCTATCTGCAAGGTTAGTCTGTAAATGTGTGGTGTTAGAAAAGCAGGCTGAGTTCTGGGCTGGTTGTAGAAGGAGAAAGAAGCCCCCAGGCCAGTGCAAGCAGGCAGCCCTCAGCTTGCACCTGATGTCCCCTCCCTGCAGGTTCCTGTCCTTGAGCCCAGGCCCTGAGGTGAGGCTGAGAAGTGGCGTGGAGGTGAGCCCAGAGCTGTCCCTGAGGTGAGGCTGAGAATAAGTGCAAGGCAGAGGTGCTGCTGAGGAAGGAGAGCCCCGTGGTGGGGAAGGCACAAAGCTGTGTGTGCCCATCCCCGAGCAGGTGCTGTGTCCATCCCCTGTGTGCCAGGTGAGCTGGGGCTTTGCTGCAGAGCTGCGGGTGCTGATTTGAGCGGCTGCAAGTGCTGAGATGGTGGGCACCCAGGAACACCAACTGTGCCTGGCCACGGAGCCTGCAAGGAGGAGCAGGGACAGCCCTGGCAGTGTGGGGGGCCAGGTTGTCCCTGTGCCTTCCCCTGCAGGCCCTGGCTGTCCCTGCTGGGCCCCTGTCCATCCCCATCAGGTCCCTGCCCGTCCCCCCGGGCTGAGCTCCCCCCAGGAAGTGCCGTGGAGCTGAAGCTGCTGCCATCCCCCCCCTGCAGCCGCTGCCCCAGGCAAGGGAGCAGCAAAGGCAGGGCCAGGAGCAGAGGCAGCAGCAGGGGAGCCCTGGGGGGGCCGGGAAGCTCTTGTGTGGGGCAGGAAAGAGGCGCTGGGCACGAGGCCGGGGCTGTGCTGAGCAGGCCCAGCCCTCACATCCCCCCAGCCAACGCCGGCTGCCCGGGGGGCTTGGGAGGGACCCCCAGCCCGTGTGCCCCACACTGAGCTGGCAGAGAGAGAGCCAAGGGACAGGGATGTGGGCAGGGCCCCGGGTGAGGGACAGGCAGGGCCATTGCAGGGCAATGGTGAGGGCACAGCCTGTGGCAGCAGAGCTGCCCAGGGCCGGGGGCAGCCGGGGGTGTTGGTACCAGCCAGTGCTGGGGCCGAGCAGAGCACGAGGCCTCTTGCAGACCCCTGGAGCAGCCTCCCACTTGCCAGCCCCGCCCTGGTGGGGTGACACTGTCCCCTCCCTCCAGAACACTGCCCCAGAAATCTTTGTGGTGGCCTTTTGTGTACATTCCTGTTTTCTGATCCATCCTGGGGACCCAAGGGATCCTCTGCCATTCCATCCATGCAGCAGGAGTCACCCTCCTGCCCTTGACTCCCTGCAGAGGAACAAGTGCCCTCTCTCTGTTTGGGAGAAGCCAGATGCTGCCCCCGGGCCATCAGAAGTGGTGCTGAAGCCTCTTTCAGCCCAGCCCTGGGTGCAGTTTTCTCATCCCCTCACCGAGTGCCCGCTGCCCCAGCCGGCACTGACCAACCAGGGCGTTTGGCACACTGGGATTGGTGGTTTGGAGAAACAGCCCCGGACTGACAGGGGGCCAGATAAGCTCGAGGAACAGCCCTGGTGAGTTTTAAGTGAAACTACATTAATACAGCTCTTTATTAATATATAGCAACTCAGTTCAGTGCTCGTGAAATGACCTCACTCCCTTCAGCCTCCCAATTAAACACCTTTTTATTGGCTGAATCTTCATATTTTGGAGTATTTACTGGCTAAACTTTTACTTTTTGCAGTTTGAGGGGGGTTCATATCGATATTTCTGAGGGGTTTTTTTCCTGAATCTTGGTGGTTTTTGTTTTTCTGGGCTGAATCTTGGTGTTTTGGAGGTTTTTATGGACACAGGATGCCTGGTGAGTTCTAGAGATGGACTTGGGCAGGAGGAACCCCCAAGCCAACACACTCAGCCCTTGTTTTCCCCCCCATCAGGATTTGTCCTTCCCAAAGCTTGGGCGGATGGAGGAGGCTGCGAGGAAGAGGAAGATGCCTTGGTCCCCCCAGGCAGGTGAGGAGGAAGTCAGTGTCCCTTTGGGCGGGTGTTGTGCTGGCTCTGTCAGCCGAGCATGGCCCCGGCTGCAGGACAACCCCGCTGGCGCCGCCGTCCTGCCGGGGCCGGAGTTGGGGGGATGTCCTTGGCCTTCCCTGTGGGCCGGAGGCAAATCCCCTGCCTGTCCTTCTTGCTTCCTGCCCCAGGCCCCGAGGTGAGGACGGAGAGCCCGGAGGACAAATCCCCCCGTGAGACCCTGGTGGGAGAGGCCGTTTTGAAGGGCTCCCCGGCGCAGGAAGGCAGCGGGGAGGAAAAGGGCCGGAGATCCCCCCGCAGGAGGGGCTCCAAAGCCAGCCCAGGGTGCTCTGAGGAGGAAAGAGCCAGCCTGTGCCGGGAAGGCAGCCGGAGCTTGAGGGGGAGCTCTGAGCTGGTGGTCCCTGAGCAGCCTCCTAGCAGGGAGAAGCCCTTCAGGTGCTTGGAATGTGGGAAGAACTTCAGGCAGAGCTCCAACCTTCTCCAACACCAGCACATCCACAGTGGGGAACGGCCCTACCCATGTAGGGAATGTGAGAAGAGCTTCAGCCGGAGCTCCCACCTGATCCGACACCAGCTTATCCACACTGGAGAAAGGCCCTACACCTGTAGGGAATGTGGGAAGAGCTTCAGCCGGAGCTCCCACCTGATCCGACACCAGCGCATCCACACTGGGGAACTGCCCTACACGTGTGGAGAATGTGGGAAGAGCTTCAGCCAGAGCTCCAACCTCCTCACCCACCAGCGCACCCACACTGGGCAATGGCCCTACACGTGTGGGGAATGTGGGAAGAGCTTCAGGCAGAAGTCCCACTTCCTCATCCACCAGCGCATTCACACTGGGGAATGTCCCTACACATGTGGGGAATGTGGGAAGAGATTCAGGCAGAGCTCCCAGCTGAGCCAACACCAGATGATCCACACTGGGGAACGGCCGTACAAGTGCTTGGAGTGTGGGAAGAGGTTTCGGACCAGTTCAGAGCTCCTCGTGCACCAGCGGATGCACACGGATGAGAGGCCCTTCCGCTGCACCGACTGCGGGAAGGGCTTCAACCGTAACGGGAACCTCATCACCCACCGGCGCATCCACACTGGGGAAAGGCCCTACAAGTGTGGGGAGTGTGGGAAGACCTTTGCCCACAGCTCTGGCTTGACCTACCACCTAGGGACCCACCGGTAAGGGAAGCCCTGGGAGTGCCCTGACTGCGGGAAGAGTTTCGACCGCTGCTTCCACCCCGAATGAACCCCCTGATGGGGAGGCAACCCCTGGAGTCCAGTGACTGTCAGTCCATCCCTTTTGACCACAAAGGGCCAGTCCCCTTTCCCAGGGGCAGCTTCTTCCAACAGAACCCTTCCTGGGGGGTGTGTGGAGATTCCTGCCTTGGCTGGGGACCCCCCCGGTCACTCCTGGAGGTTGAGAGCAGAGATCTCCCCACGAGCGTTGGTCTGGGGGAGTTCCATCCATCTCCAATTAATAATCATTGCTTTTGTGCCAGCTTTAGTAGAATGGCTTCAACAATTGCTTTCATGTAGAGCACTATCCTATCTTATCCTGTGCTCCTGGTTGTTTTAGTGTTTCTATTGTGCAGTAAATAATTCTAATGAAGATCTTTTGTCTGATCATTTGTAACCCTAAATAATTCCTTTCTATCAATAGATGTGATTTGCCATCATTAAAATCTGGGAGACAAAGCTGGTTCACTCACACCTCTGTAATTCCTCTAAACTGAAAGTGTTGGCATGATCCAAGGCTGAGATTGGATCCAGCAGCCCCTACAACCCCACAGGAAGTTGGGAGCTCAGGGGGATCACCCCCTTTGCCAACTCCCCTGTGCCCAAAGACCCCCATGGGACTGTCAGACCCGCCAGACCACCTCCCCTTTTCCACCCTTCTCCCTGTTCCTCCCATTTTCCCATATTCCCATCAATCCCCAGTTTCCCTCTAAACAGTTTTGGGGGCCCAACCCCCACTTTTTACCCCCTCTCCTGTGGGCGCTGAAGGAGAAAATGAAGCTGCACACACAGAGTTCCATTGCAGGACTTGTCTGTCAACGTTTTTCAGTGTCCCCTTTTATTCCTCTTCTCTCGTGAGCAGCACCCGCTCTTTGTCTTCTAGTGCACTGGAATTCCCAGCATGGCCCCAAAGCAGTGCCCTGACCCCACACATTCCCCTCCCCTCATGTGCTGCCTGTGTTCAGCCACCAGAGAAAAACACAGGCTGGTCATGCAGGCTGGTTAAAGAGCATTTCCGCTTGGAGGAACAACCTTCTCTCTCTCCAAGCACTCAGCCAAGGACCATCCTCCCTTTGCATTCCCATGAACTCAGGGCAGGTGCAGAGTGACTCCGCTTGGTCCCACCTCTGCCCCTGTTCTGTTTGGACACGCAGAGTTCACGGCCAAGAGGGCCAGGACCCGGGCTTCTTGTCTTCTTGTCCCATGTGCTCCCAGAGGACTCGGAATATTGAAACCAGACAGATTCTGAACCCCTGCTCCTGATGCTGCCACAGTGCCCATACACTGGCACTGCAGGCATGGCCTGCACTGAATGGCCAGTGCAGCAGGAGCCGTGGCTGCGGCAGCTGCCGGGATTGCTGCAGAGATGATCCAAGCAATCAGCCACCCACTGAGGATTTCTGGATTTCACAGTTTCCTTAATTCACTGTATCCTGCCTCATCCTCCCAGCTTCTGCTTAGGTTCCCTGGGAGCCACAGTCTGGCTCTTCTGCCCATGGGAATTATTAATGATAAATGGAGGGTAGGTACGTTTTGATCTGTGATACAACTAAAATAACAAGGAATATTTACAGGGATCTTAAAGGTATTGTCAGTCACATGAATCACAACGTCAGGTGCAGCCAAGAAGGGATCTGAGTGACAAGGACACACCACGGCTGAGTCATTAAGCCAGTCAGGAAGAGTTGGTAGACCCAGTGAATTCCCCCTAGAACAGTGTCTTCCTGATGGGACATCCGGGCAGGGCTTGCTCTGCTCAGCATTCCCTGCCTGCTCCCGGGATTCTTGAGGGACAGCCTCTGGCAAGTCCTGGCCCAAGGAGACCTGCCACTGCCCAGAGTCCTTGCAAGGGTGCTGCCCGTCTCCTGCCCCAAAGAGCTGTGCCCCTGGGGGACTTCTCTGCCAGAGGGCAGCCAAAGCCAAGGGGCACTGAGGTCTGCCCTCTTGCAGGTGGCTTTTGGGAGTGGCAGCTGGAGCAATTGGTGGCAAGACTTGGCATCTGTCAGAAGGCAGAAGCTGTTGCTCCTTCCTGGCATGATTTTTGGGTGGAAGTGATTAGCAGCAGCACAAAGCCACCATCAGCTGCCGAGTTTCACAGGACAATTAGATTGGACAGAGAGACTCTCAAGATTTTTGTGTTCTTTTTGCTTGTTTTCTTGCCTTCTGGAAAAAAAATCAGCCCAGTCTCGCATGTTCAACACTTCGGTTTCTGTGTGCTCAGCTGTGGCCAGCAGCTGATGTCCAGTCCATTGGGGAAGTGCAGGGGACAGGGAGAAGTCTGGGATGAGAAGCTTGTTCTGTGTCTGCCATGAAGGTGCCACCCACCTGAAGGAGCAGCCAAGAGAAGTGCTGGAAGCAGAGACGTTCTGCCAGTTTCTGCTCTCAGGTGGACACAGGGCCCACTTGTTGCCAGGGATCCCGGAGATTGGATCTGGGAACAAGGCAGGGCCATGCACTGGTAGGGAATGGGCTCCAACAGGACCAAAGGAGGAATGTCTAGCAGCAAAGTGTGAGCTGGTGAATGTGAACTGGGCCATCTTTTCATCAGACACCACAGTGCTTACTTCCCTCCATCCCTGAAGCTCCACCACATGAGGCCCTGCATTGTTTCAGCTTCTGCTGCTTCTTCCTTTGTTGCCCTCAAGTGCTGGACGTAGAGTTTAGAAGCCCATGCCCATGTTTTGAAGGTGCCTGCGTGGAGGAGAGGTTGAGCAGCTGCAGCCCGAGGCTGGTGTCCCAGCAGAGTCTCTAAGGATGGCACCAGTGGCACTGGCTGGGGACAGCTGAGTGTGGAAGGCGTGTCCAGCCTCAAGCAGGGCCATTGAAGTCAGTCAGGATGTCAGGCTGCAGCTGAAGCTGCCAAGGGTTGCTGTGAGGCTGGGGAGTCACTGGAAAGCTGTGGTGGCCACTTGCCCTGAAGCCTTTTGCCAAAGCAGGTGCAACTGTGCCCACAGTCTGCCCACTTTTGATGTCTTGGCGAGTGTGGGTGCCTGGGTGAGGAGGCCCAGGCGTTGTGGGTGCTGCTGCTCCTGGGCAGCCTCTGGTGCTGTTGTCTGTGGGATGAGGAGCTGCTTGGGCAGCAGCGAGTGCGCAGCCCTGCCCGAGGAGCCCAGCACCCTGCCCGTGGTGGCAGCAGCTCTGTGGGCCCAGAGCTCTGGCTCAGGGGGGTGTTGGCCACAGCCCCATGGCCTGGGCAGCCGTGGGGGCCCGGGCTGGCCACCAGCCCTGCCTGTGCCACTGCCCCTGGCCGGCAGCACCCGGCGGACGTGCCCCGGCAGGGCCCCCTTGCCCTCCTTGTCCCCAGCCAGGCCAGCCTGGCCCCCTTGGGGGTGTGCCCACCCTGCTGCTGAGGCCTGGCCTCCAGGGCTTCTGCCACAGGGCTAGGAGAGGCCTCGGGAAAGCACCAGAGCAGCCGGCTGGCAGGGAAGGAGGTGGCTGCCTGGGGGCTGCTTATGGCCTCTGCCTCCCCCAAGTCCTGGGGGCTTTTCCCTCCACCCTGCCCCTTGGGGCCTGTGCCCAGTCTGTCCCCTCACAGCCTTCTACCACCCACCCCCTCCCAGATTCCCCTCAAGGCTTCCCTCTCCCTTGTCCCATCAGGGCCTCCACAGCACCTCACCCCTTCCTGGCCTCCCAGCGCCCCCTCCCCTGCTGGTCTTTTGCTGGCACGCTGCACAGCGGGGCAAGTGTTGCTGAGCACAGGGAGCTATTTTCCCCTCTTCCCCAAGGCCCTGTGCACACTGGGCACCAAAAGAAACCTCCTGGGCCTCTGTGCATGATAACATGTTGGTCATGTTCCCATGCTGGGCTCAAAGGAGGTGCTTGCAGGGAAGAGGAATCTTCCCCACAGGCTCAGGTGGCTCCAGGAGATGGAGCTTCCTGCATCAGTTCTCCACAGAGCTGCAGCAGCACAGGCAGACACTGCCCTGCGGAAAAGGCCGGGTCTTCCACGCCCTGCACAGCCAGTCTTGGAGCTGCTGGAATCTGCATAGGGAGCCATCTGTACAGCTCTTGGCACGTAGCAGTGTTGAATTGCCAGGCCTGCCATGGCGAGTCTGATGTCATCTGTCACACCTCTGTGGGCTGGAAGAGGCAGCAACGGAGACTACCAGAATGGGAAGAATGAAGTTCTCCGTACAGCTCTGATGATGTGGAGCGTTTCAGTGGCCAGGTTTGAGACAGCAGGGCTGTCATCAGTCATGCCTTGAAGGGCTGAAAGAGAAAGGAAGAGAGCCAAGGTGAGAGGCCAGGGGTATGGGGACGTGAGGAGCCCCTCCTGCCAGGGCCATCCCAGCCAGCTCTTGCCATGGCCAGGAGGGAGCAGGGCCCAAGGGGATCAGCTGGAAGGTGACCTCCCTCACCTTGGCAGATGAGCTGCAGCTCTGGCTGCTCCTGCTTCATGGACCTGGCGGCGATCCCTGGGAACACAGAGCCTGTCAGGCCCCAGAGGCACAGGTCCCCCGCAGCAGCGCTGCCAGCCCGGCCACACGGCCTCCTGCCCTGGCAGGGCTGAGCCCGGGGCCTTCCCGCGTGGGGACGCCCCAGGGCTGGGCTGGCACAGGGCGGCAGCAGGCGCTCGGGGCCACTCGGGGCTCCACATGCCCTGGGCCGCATCCTGCTGCCGCTGCAGCAGCCGGGGCTGGGGCCGAGCTGCAGCGGGGCGGGGAGGGACCTTGTGGCTCACCCAGAAACTTGATGGTCAGCTTTCGAAGGGGCTCCTCTGGGCTCTCCAGGAACGGCAGGGCCTGGCGCACGTACTGGCCCACTCGGCTCCTGTCCTTTTCCAGCTGCAAAGAGCGCCAGGGCACGGAGGGAAGGCTCGGCTCAGGCTCTGCCCCTTGGCCGGGCGCTGCCTGCCCCCAGCACGGGGCTCCCCTGCCCGCAGAGCCCTGAGGCCTGGCCAGCAGCTGCTGGGGCCGGGCTTTGGGGGGAGCAGAGGGCTGGGTGCTCCCGGGGAGCCAGGGGCTGGCGCTTTGGGGCCGTCCTTACCAGGCACTCGGGAAACCTCCACGGCTGCTCCATGGTCACCAAGTGCTCAAGATCCCTCCACTTCAGGAACCTGGCTGCACCAAACAGTGCTCTCTGAGAGG